CCCCCCCCCCCCCCCTCCCACTTTGAGGCCAGCGTCTTTGCTGGTACTCATTCCTTTCTCCAATCGATGTTCGACCTCCACCAAATCCACCTCCATTCGGGGCCCAACGTCCTTGCTGGCACATCGCCTTATGTCCACCCCCATTTGAGGCTCAGCCTCCTCATTGGCACATCACCCAGTATCTACCATTTGTAAACGGCCTAAACCCACCGCTAGCAGATGTTATCCTCTTTGGTCTTTACCTTTCGAGCTTCTCCTCAAGGTTTTTAAAACGCGTATGCTAGAGAGAGGTTTCCACATCTTTATAAATAATATTTCGTTCTCCTCCCCAACTGATATGGAATCTCACAAACAACTTCAGTCCCATTTTTTCAGTTTAAAGAATGAACTAAAAATGTGATTAGAACACAATCTTACTTGGTTGATGTGCTTTACTGACAGGTGCAAGCAGTAAACCTGCAAAGCCGGCTTGATGAAGCTTCTTCAAAGGCAGAAGCCCTTCAGTTCAGTGTCAAGGAGGCTGCTGCATCGTCTAAGAACATTCCTGCAAAAGGCACTTCAAACAAACAGGAAACTTTGAATGCAAATCGCTTACCTTACAGAAAAGATAAAACTCATTCCTCAGAGACTGTCAAAGTATTATGCATTTCCTTCTCTCATTCCTTTTCTCTTCTCTTTCCATGTTCTTAGCCTTTCCATTTCTGTGTGAACTTTTGATTTTTCAAGAGGATTCTTAGAAGGAAAAACATAGCTTCTATGGTAGCAATGGAGGCTCAAAAAGAGGCAATGGCTGCAGCATCCTTGGCCAAATGTCTCAGGTAAGTTTTCAGGATATAAATTTGAGTCCACCATTTGTTACAAGGTAATCTTATTTCCATCATGTTTTTTTCAGTGTGTTTGCTGATCTGTGTTCATCAGCCTCACCTAAGAATCCCCAACTCCCTCTCACGAAATTCTTCACACTGCAGCAGCTAATCTCTGAAACGAATTCGAACGATGCAGTGAAGGAAAACTCGCTTCTTTTGACTATGAACTCATCTCTGCCAGAAGCAAATAAGTCCACAAAAGTTTCCTCTTTATTCCTATCAAAGAGTGCTTCACCAAAGTCTGCAAAGGCAGCTATTGAATTAAGAGAGGGTGAAAAACAAGAATGGGCCAGAGGAGATGGTGCAAAGGAGATCAAATTACTAAGAGATGTTTTGCTGAAGGAATCAACATCATGGTTTTTGAATTTCTTGGAGGAAGCATTGGATGCCGGGTTTCGTGTCGGAAAACAGGACAAGAAGGGTCGGAACAATGCAGGGCAACAAACGGAGGCGGGCAACCATATTGCTGTTGCCTTATCACAGCTCAAGCAAGCCAATGAATGGTTGGAGAAGTTAAAAGGAAATTTGAGTTCAGGAGATAATGGCTCAAGGGAAACCATTGACAGGATAAAGCAGAAAGTCTATTCCTGTTTGCTTGTACATGTGGAGTCTGCTGCATCAGTTCTAGAGAATAGATTTGACCGTTGTTAATCTAGAACAGCAAATTCAAACTCTGTAAATTGTATGATACAATAAATTATCAAGAGTTTGGTCATTCTTATCGACAACAGATCAACATATAGATGGATAATACACTTCAGTCCTCTACATTCTAACTCAGCATGCAGATAAATTAAACATATACTAAATCCCATCAGTAGTGTTCAAAGTTCAAACAATGCAGTGAGAACTATTACTATGAGAACGGAACATTCTTTATAGGGGTGTGGAAACCTCTCCCTAGTAGACGCTTTTAAAAACTTTGAGGGGAAACCCGAAAGAGAAAGCCCAAAGAGGACAATATCTGCTAATAGTGGGTTTGGGCTGTTACAAATGGTATCAGAACCAGACACTGGGCGATGTGCTAACGAGAAGGTTGAACCCCGTAGGGGTGTGGATTAGGGGGTCCTACATCGATTGGAGAAGGGAACGAGTGCCAGCGAGGACGACAGGCATCGAAGGGGGTGGATTGTGAGATCCCACATTGGTTGGGGAGGAGAACGAAACATTCTTTATAAGGGTGTAGAAATCGCTCCTTAGCATACGCGTTTTAAAAACCTTGAGGGGAAGCCTAAAAGGGAAAGCCCAAAGAGGACTATATCTACTGGCAATGAGCTTAAGCTATTACAAATGATATCAGAACCAAACACCGGGCGATGTGCCAGTGAGGAGGTTGAACCCTGAAAGGTGGTGGATTGGGAAGTCCCACGTTGATTGGAGAAGGGAACGAGTGTCAGCGAGAATGCTGGGCCCTGAAGGGGGGTGGATTGGGGGGTCCCACGTTGATTGGAGAAGGGAATGAGTGCCGACGCTGGGCCCCAAAGGGGGTGGATTGTGAGATCCCACATAGGTTGGGAAGGAAAACGGAACATTCTTTATAAGGGTGTGTAATCCTCTCCCTAGCATATATGTTTTAAAAACCTTGAAATGAAGCCCAAAAGGAAAAGCCCAAAGAAGACAATATCTACTAACTGTGGGTTTGGGCTGTTACAATTATACTAACGAGTCATCAATTACACCGCAAACCCAACCAACGAACACAATGCAGTACCAAACCCCAATTTCCTATCTTCTAGAGAAGCAATGATTTTCAGCATGAGATATATCAAGGTGAAATATAAACACTTAACCGAACACCAGCTAAAGTATTCAAGTCAAAACAAAGAAGAAATAGAACACAGTTACCCTTTATTAGAAGTAGAGGCAAGCTTAAGTTTTCAAAGTTGTTGTCAAAAGGAAGAGAATCCAAATTGGAGAAAAAGGGCACACGCTAAGACCTCCCATCTTTCTCGTAAACAATCTAGCATGTGCCCTGCCTCTCCAACATGGCTCACTCCTCCTATCTCCTACTGTGCCTATAGAATGGAGTTAACTCATATTCTGGTCTCCTAGGCATTTTAACAAACAGGTTATGAGCATATAAAAAGAACAGCAAGAACACACATATTTAAACACCAATGTGAGCGAACAAACAATTGGGCACCCAAGAAAAGGAGTAAATATAATATTGGGTGTTAATTTAAAACTTCTTACAGCCAACAAAAAGCATTGTTGATGAGAATGGGAAGCATGTTACGGGTAGGCGAGTGGGTCGCCTTGTTTTGTTTAGCGAATAATTCAAAACCCATGAGTGGATCTAGCTGCCAGCGACGGGTGGGGAAGAGAAGAAAAGAAAAGAAATGGAGAAAGCTTCAATGGCTGCCAAACTGGCAAGTTCATGTAGATATGAATTTTTTACCCAACGCCACCAACCTTGGACCGGTAGATCTGAAAATGCCCACACTTCTTAGCTGGAAATGGATAAATAATCCTTTCTTATTACCTTAAATTTAAAATTTTGGATTGATTGGCATGTGTTTTTTAATGTAATGTATTGATATAATTGAGATATGAGTACGAGTGTTATATAATCTGATAATTCGAGTAATTTGAACTATTTTGATTACAGGGGTCGAAACTATTGAACTTACTTGTGCTTTCGAGTGCTTTTTCTATAAAACAATTGCCTTCAATCGAGATTTTCTCGACTTCTTAGACACATGAGGAATCGGGCTAACATCTTTTCGATCGAAATTTCAATCAAAGATAAGTTCTACCAATGCCAAGATCTAAAAGAGAAGATTTGGAAATTTTGAGTGAGATGATTCCATTCCTTCTCCAAGTTCATTCGAACAGATCGAAGCGAAGTCATCAATTCAAGACATGCAATGAATTGAATAAAGAAGGCCGACAAGATAAAGATAGAGCTCCGCACATAGTTTTGAGTTCAGCTCAAAGTCCAAACCGAGTTGGGTTGAGTTAGATTTTTTTTCCAATTTGAGTCGGGTTAAATTTTTGAAAAATCAAAAGTTCGGTTCGATTTACCATTTGAAACGTTTTTTGGTCAGGTCAACCTAACCAATTCAAAAATATGGTTCACAACCCAATCTAACCTTACCTTAAAGATTATTGTGAAAATTAAAAATATTGTAATGTGTTATTTTATGAGATTTTAGTTATTAATGTAAGTAGGTGAATAAATGATTTTTTAAAAATAATTAAATAAAATAAACGACGTGCTACCCAAGCTGATCTAAAAATGAGTTGGATTGTGAACTTTATTCGAGCCATCTAGATCACCAATCCAACTGACTCAAAATTTGTGTTGGTTCAAAAAAATTTCTCGGTCTATCGAAATTTAATAACATTTTTCAAAGGATTGGAATGCGAAAGGAAATAACATTAAAATTTTCTTTTATGTTCACAATGGTTAGATACTATATTTTAGTTTAGTTTTTTTAAAAAAATATATAATATTTTAAATTGAGAAAGAAAACAGAATTAAATATTTAAATGAGAACATAGTGATCCACTAATAAATAATTTTAAATATTGTTTACAAAAATATTGATAGCAAATAATAAATTTAAAAAATAGAATGACGTGTACGTAAAATCCTCAAGAAAAACCATGTAGAAAGTGAAATAATAATATTAATAAATCGATCATTTTTATTGCTCCAGTTTTCATTTTCAGATCTTCCATAGATCTTCATAAAAATAAAAATAAAAATAGAAACATAATTTCAATACAATTTTCCACAATGAAGTAGAGTTTTAATAGACAAATTATAAATTAAAAGACATAAAAAAATTGGATAATCAAATAATAATAAAGTCAAATGATAGGCTTATTTGAAAAGGAATGGACAACTTATGATGTGCACGATTCGATTTGATTTGGTTTGGTTTAGTGTTCGGCAAAACCATGGACTCAACCGAACATATCCATTTTAAAAAAACTAAAAAAATTAAAATACATCATATTTCCTCTGTAACGTTATATAATAACAAATTTCATTGTTTAATATAATGTGAGATTTCTCTCAATTATTCTGATCTTTCTAGTTTTCCCTCTCTGTTCTTAGTATAGAGCTATGCCCTAAACTTAGTTTTGTCAATAAAATCCTCAAATATCGAACAAAGATTGTGTGCCTCGAAGGTGTAGTCAAAAAGTGACTAAAGTGTCAAACAAAGGGTGTAGTTTGTTCAAGGGCTCCAAAAAAAAGGAGTCGAGCCTCGATTAAGGAGAGGATGTTCGAGAGCTCCATTAGCCTCAAAGGAGACTTATAGTGCACTTTGTTGAGGGGAGGATTGTTGTGGATTGTTGGAAATAAGTATCACGTTGACTAATTTAAAGAATGATCATAGGTTTATAAGTAAAAGAATACATTTCCGGAGAAGTCGAAAGCAAAACCGATTGTGATTCCTAACCATTTTAAATTTTTAACTTAATTTTCTTTCCATCCATTTTCATGGTTGACAATTTTCTAATATGTAGAGCCCTTTGTTTAGAATTTAGCAAATTTATATTTTATTAGATGGACGGTGTGGCGACACTAAAGTGGAGTGATGGGTGGGGGAGGAGAGAGAAACAAGAGGGGGAGATAAATATAATTTTTTATTTTTTATTTTTATATTTATATTTTCATTATTAACAACCACAAAAAAATAATAATAATAATAAAATATAAAATTAATAATTTAAAAAAAAAATTATCCCATCAATCAACCTTTCATAATGAAAAGTTGAAAGCAGGAGGAAAATTATTAAGAAAAAAAAAAAAAAAGATTACATCAAAGGTATCCTAAATCAAATTTTAGAGAGCAATAATTTATTTTTCTCTTAAAAATCTATTAATGAATATAAATAATTCAAAGTTTCAAATTTATTTAAAAAAATGTGACAGGTTTATTAGCTAATTTAAATATTGATTTTAAATATTTTTATTTTAGATTACAAAAAAAATAAAAAAATAAAATCATAGACATTAATATTTTACCGATATCTTCTTCGACATTTCTCGGGTTTTTTTTTTTTTTTTTTTGAAGTAAATATTAAGGAAAGCAAAGAGGGAAAACTTGAACCACATAACTGTAGTGGAAGCCAGTTCTGTGGGATCATCAAATGAAAGTGAAGGAATTGACAACCTACAAAGCCAACATTCAGAGGAACTTTGAGAATAGATTATATGAAAATTAAGAGCACGAGCTTGGGATATCTCTCCCACTAACCTTCTTAATTTCGGAACTAAACTTCTCTGAATCTTCATCTCCATACTGTACAACACATCAAACCAATTATCAAAACAAAACAAAGATTTCCTACCATCTTGTTTTCGTTCCTAACTTTTATATCGGTTGAGTTTCGGTTTTTTTAGTCCTTCAACTTCTAAATGTATTGTTTCAGTAGCTTGATCTAAAAACCGTTCTAGTTCTTGCTGTCAATTATCAATCTAGATAAAATTACAAATTGGATAAACAGGCACAAAAAAAATGTTCATCTACCATTAGAACACTATTGCTAAATATATCAAGATAAACCACTCTTAATTTGATCTTTAAATCTTCTAAAATTCTCGATTTTATCCCTAATGTATTATAATTTCAACCAAGTCATTCTACCAGAAAATACTTACTCAAATTTGTTAGCATAAAATGGATATGTCATCACATGGTGTTTGAAGATTTCACACAAAAGAAAAGGATTTTGTTATCTTTAATACTCTCGAATATATTTAGCAAAAGTG